CTTTTCAAATTAAAAGTATTTAAGCATCTCACGCAACTTCTCCTTCTTATAAAACAAAGTCAACCATGAAAGCACTTTTTTTTTTTTATTTATGAAAAACATATTTAAAATATTAATTTTAAAATGCTTACTAAAATTACACTGAGCGATACTTATTTTATAGTATTATTATTTATTATTATTATATTAGTATTATTATATATTATTTTATTTTATTTCGACAGTATTCATTTTTAATTAAAAGATTTAGATATAGGGGTTAGGAAATCAGGTAAATGTTCAAAGATTCCATTTTTATAAGTCAGGTAGTTAGAAAAACGTCTACGTTACGCGAACCGAGGTTGTTTTTTTTTCTAGAATAGATTAATTAATTAATTTCTGAATATTGATTAATAACTGACGTAGAAATAATTTTTTTTTTGTAAATTAATTATACAAACAAATAACAGGTGTTACAGAGTAAAGTGGTAATACTGCAAAAATTGACTAAGGACCTCAAAACAAGAAAAAAAACTTCCTCTGAAGGTATGTCCGCAAACGTTTTGTTTAGGAGATATTCACACTTAAAGGTTCTCGTTGTTATGAATTATTTACGTTAGATGAAATAAATATAACTCATTTATTTGTTCTATCTACTTTATTAATTAAATTACATTCATATTACATGTTGTTCATTGTGATTTCCATGAGAATTTTTACAAGCTCGGCATCTTTCTTCAACAGCACTGGATATGTGTTATTTTTTCACAAAATGCAATTAACCTTCTTCGTAAGGAATTAAGGTCATTAACCGGACTTGCATGTATTTCATATAACGTAAATAATTCATAACAACGAAAATCTTTAGGTGTGAATATCTCTTAAACTAAGCGTTTGCGAACATTCCTTCAAATATTTTTTTTCTTGTTTTGAGATCCTTAGTTCATTTTTGCAGTTTGGCCACTTAGCCCTGTATATCTTGTTTTTCTTATTAGTATGTATAGAAACAAAAAAAATAATTAGGTGCAGTTTGAAAGCGGTACGTTAACCACGAATACTGTATATTTGTATAAGATGTGTTTTTCACCTCCTGGAGGAATGAGATACTTGAAAAAATCACTTCCGGAATTATGGAGCACACCTGATACTAGCGTATCTCGTTTCACAAAGACCCTCAATTCCACACCGGGAATATTTGATTCAATGCTATCTCCCAGCTTATCATACAATGATCCTTCCATTCTTCACTGGTCCAGTTGTTGAATAAATGTATTTAGATTAACTTTTCTTCAATACCTGACCATCGCATATAAGAGTATTTGAAGCCTCAACCGGACACAATCATTTGAAGATTTCTTGTTAATTTTCTACCACTCCTGCCATTTTCAGGCATTTACAACAAGAAAAAGAATCTCTTCATTGCTAGATAACCATGTATACAAATCAATAATGTCGTCAAACAATTTAATTATAAGTAAGGATATTATTGTAATTAAATTTAAAAAAACTAAGCAGTTTACAATTATATATACGAATAAATAGGAAATTAATATTTTAAATTTGTAAAATGATAAAAGATACTTCTTAAATCTCAACCATTCTATTCTAAAATTAATGGTTACAAATCTATAAATTGGTTAGACAAACATAGAGGACTAATCATATACTACAGAATGCATCTTTTCTTTACATATTCGAATATTTTTTTTTTAACTCAAACGAAAATCGTTATTTCATTGCGTGATATGAGGGTTTGGATAAAATCAATGAAACACATTTAATTTCAGTTGTATTTACCATATTTTTCTTACCAAACAGTCTGCTGTCTTGAAAATAAATTTTCTTTTCTGAAAAAAATCTTTGGAAAGCTCACATCTCGTTTTTCACTTCATCGACTGAATTTCTGTTCATGCCGCTTAATGAGTTTTGGAGACTGTCCATCAAAATTAAGTTTTGATTTGTAGAGAACGTTTAAACCAGCAAATAAAGAAAAAAAAAGTGCTCTTAGTTATACGTGTATATAAAAACAATATCTCAGAGAGCTGAAGAACCGCAGGTAGGATAATGGTTTTGTGAATTCAAATTTCTAAGTTTCGGGACAGGAGGCGCGAGATAAGTAGAAGAAACAGTTATGAGATGAAGAATAATTTTGAACTAACCTAATCAAAATTATAAAAGCATAGTTAGACAGTTTTTACACTGTTTCTAGAAGGTTATAAAATAAAAAATAATTTTGATAATCTATATTTAGACTATTTATTTCCGAATTTAAATCTCTCTTGTCGATACATTATTACATAATCGATAATTACAAAAATGTACCGATTTGAATCGAAAACAGGGTATAAAAACATGCCCTGTTTGTTTATTTGGATTTTTTTTTAAGGACTCATATACATGACTACAATAAGACCTATTTGAACTTACGGAGTAGCTTTGGGGCTCCACTAAGCCATCGAATTCCTCTCGTGTTCAATCCTTACAATCCAAAATCTTTCGGAAAAATCTCAATGCTCCTTACTTTGTCACCAATAAAATAATCCATAATGACTTTAATGTTCCTTTTGTTTCCTATTTGGCCCAATCCAGGTACCAATCCTTCCATAATAAACTAAAGAACCATTCGAATCCTTTCGTATCTAACCTTGCTTTCTCTTCTATCCCTGATAACCCTCGGAAGCGTCTGACAAGAAGATGGCCTCGAGATCTCCTATTATAAAAATCATATTATTATTTTCTGTTATCAAATTTACTAAATGTATTTTATTTATTAATACAGTTGTAAATATCATGAATAAAAAAAATAAAAGAAGTATCTTTTAAACTAGCATTGATATAATATTTCATATAGATTAATTATATAAATAAGGAGAGCAATAATATATCTCTTTGGGGGGTAGTATGCGCCATCGGCCTTAGGGAGATGGGCATCCCTGTTCATATATATTATCTACACGACAAAATGAATAGGCTGAACAGTTTTGGAGTGACGTGGGAGTGCTATCTGTTTAGTTTGCTCTAGTTATACGTGAAACCAATCAGTTTGAATACAGAAATGATAAATTATTCCAGGAATGTAATCTTTCTGTCTGTTGATTAAAGACTGTAGTTGGAATTCAACAATAACCAAATAAATACTTCTGTACTTCCATTAATTTTTTATTCTTTCTAATATTTGTAGCTAGAAGATTTTGAGGCCTGTATACAATAAGGCTTTGGAAGATATGTTATACATAACTCCCACGTACTCCAACAAAGGTTCGGGGAGATAAGGTGGCGATAGTGCTTTTATCGAATGTGCCAGTTTTCTTTGGCCTCTGTTAAGGTCATTAATTTGAATTAAGAAAAAATAGGTTATGAACACTGAGAAAGTAATTATTAAGAAAAATCATTACTACTACAACCTATGAAGGGTCTGAGGTTCAGTACTTAAAAAACATGTACATACTGAAACCTCGAAGTCGGTTAATACCTTATTATCTTTGTGATTATTAAATAATAGTTTTATTCATCAATAATCTAAAATTACTATTAGTAACTTGAAATGTTGTTCTGCAAACTAAAAAATTGTCTCCTTTTCAACATTAATAATTTGAAACATTGAAAAATTCGTAATGCGCCACATAACAGTATTTAAGGCTTAAAACTGGACAATTTACGAATAACTAAGTTTGTGAAAAACTGTATTTTGTAACCTTCATCCTTCATCCTTGATAATTGGCTCATCGAATAACTTTCCTCCAATCCAGCCACTCCTCATAAAATGAATTGGAATTTGAAATTCAGACATTATCAGAAGTCCACAAGTAATGTCAGTTTTTAAAAATCTGTCTGTTTATGTTGATATTACTCCTTTTCAATCGAATTTCGTTTACATATTTTGTTTAATATAGCATTAAATATTCTTCTATTTACCATGGTTTTGTTGGAAAAAGTTAAGGCTTAATTTTCAATTAAAATGGATCTTCCCAAAAAAAACATACACCATCTTATTCCTTGGGAATCCGCTAAAGGAGAAAATTCAACTTATTAGAAAACTTGCAGAAACATATCGTTAAGTCCCCAAGTACTGGACGCCGAACACAGAAATGATAGGGCATTATCCAAAAAAAATCATGATGTCTGGTGGACTATGGAAGGAATCTTTCATCATGATTTTTTTTTTTTATCTTAATCCCACTGTTACTTGTGCATTAAGGAAAAACGTTCCTCACTTATCAACAGGCCTGGAATTTTATTCCATCATGCGAATGCTAGACCCAATGTAGCTGAATAAACTTTGCGGAAATTCGGGGCCTTTGAATTGGAAATTATTACTCATCCACCTTACTCTCCTGACTTAGCGCCTTCGGATTATCACCTTTTTAACCACCTCCTGCCTGTGCTCATCCCTGTATGTTAATCAGTTTCTTTTTTCGAATCTGTATTCGACTCCAATTTTGTGGGGTTTCCAATTCGGTTCCAGTTGCATTTGTTTGGCAGTATTAGCTTTCTTTTAAATGTTGATAAATTGATATCCTATATTTAACAGGTAGATGGAAAACCGAAAGGAGAATGAATGATGATTATACAACATGATGGGACACTTCGGGTCAATAAATCATGGAATCTTAGTTTAAGGATTGAAATGGATTTTCGGATGATTCGAGAATTATGTTTTTTTCTGATTAAAGTTAGGATAAAAGATAACTCCAAAAATTTTAATGCAGTTTTTGACTGAATAGAGATGTTTTTGAAATAAAACAATGTATAGTACTGAAAGGCATAAGAAAAAGTTTTAAACAGACGGGAATTGCTTTAGTTTCTCTTGTACATTTATGTGATGTTATCTTCTTTTGGATTGATGATACTATATTTAGCGTTACGTTTGCAGTTATTCATTGGTATTTGGGAATGCTTAAGGCTTTCGAATCCTTCGACAATATTTTCATGTACCACAATTATGTCACTTTTATTTTTTCTACTGATTAATATTACTTAAGCGTGAAGTTTTATTAATTTATCTTATTTGCCATTTTCAGAAAATACACCAATTGCTCGCCCTCAAGTCCAGCCTGGTCGGCGGAGGAGCCCACGGCGGCCTCTTCAGCAGTAGCAGCCTGCCCACCAGCGGCCTCAGCGGGGGATCTTCCTCTTCCGCCGCACAGCCTTCCTCTGACGGAGACTTCTCTGCAGGAACTGAAGTAGACTCCACCACGGAAGCGGTATGTACTTTGACCGATTATTAATTCGTGTCAGGTTACCCTCTTCCCTCGACACTAGTCAATGGTTGCTGTACCACTTAGTCTGAACTTCGATTCCTCTAAACTCTTTGTATTAAGGTATTATTTTGCTTGTACTACCGACTGTTGGCATTTGAACACTGCTTTAATGGTATAGAAAGGAGTATATTTAATTGGTACTGCTCAGCAATACGAATGTGAGGTTGTATGCTGTTCTTTTCTGACTGCTCCAAAAACGAAGTAAAGTTGCTGGTAGTTCGACGGTTTTGGAAAAAAATTATGATAACAGTCACCTTGCTATGTTTCGTTTCCTTTTTGTTCATCAAGTCAAACAAAATTATTTGAAATTTTACCAAAGCCATATTAAATCATTTTTTTAGGATTGAAGTAACAAGAGTATTTATTACACATTGATTCAAATATATTTAAAAAATTCAACTAACATAAAATAATGGAAAAAATTGCAACCTCAGGTAAATATTGAAAGTCAAAAATTGAAATATCAATTTGTCTTTTTCATATTTTTGACTTTAATTACTGGAATGATCACTCAATAAATGAGTAATAATTTAAAATCAGAGATACACCTTTAATGCTTAAAATAATATTTCATCATCTCCTTTCTATCATAAAGCTGATATCTCTTCTTCAGAATATATCAAGAAATAATCATTTTGTAAGTGGTGTGCATTAATGTAGATAATTGTTAACATTTTATACTATAGGCATAACCTAACCTTGTTTTTCAACATTAAACACCATAAAAAAGCATGTACTGATTATATAAAATCAAAACTCCGTCAACTTTAGTATTGTTGTCCTTCCGATGTAAATTAAATACATTTAACATTATTTTAAACGGTGGTGCTAAATAGAGAGAATTTGGCCGCTATAGTGAGCAGTTTCAGCGTATTACAAATGCCTTTACTGTTGGGAGTATGAGATGGCGGTCGCTGCCATGAGCAGTACAAGCGAAATAGTACCTTTAAATATATATTTATTTAGAGATAGGTCTGTATAGCTTTAAAAGACTTAGATATAGCGCTTAGCTTAGTTTTTACAGACCGATGAGATACATTCTAATCTACATTAAAGTACAATTCGAAGGGTTTTTTTTTTCTGATTCTTTTCTTTCCAGTTCACTTTAACTCATTCCTACAGTTCTTATACTTTTTCAAAGGTTACCTTATTCTTTTGTTTGTACTTGTTCTGATAACCACAAACCCATCTTTCCTATTTTCTAATCATGTTGGAATGTTTTTAGTAGATTTTCATCTGAATGTAACTTTTAATTTCTGGACCCAACATTTTTAGGTAGCTTAGATCGATACAGTATATTATGGGGTTAATTTTATGTTTTAATTATTCATAAATATATTGTATTATGTTTTAAAAAAATAAGAGATGATCCATTCCAACTTTTCCAGATGATCCAAAAAAAACTTTTTAAGTACTATCTAAAATACATGAAAACTGTTATTAGTTCTCTCGGCAGAGTTCTCACTTCCATAATTTTAGGGAATTTCATATTTTTTTCAATTATTTTTTAAAATAATCCTGACAACAAAATAAAAAGTTAGGAGACCCTACAATTTCGTGCTTGAGACATTTTTCGAGCACCCAAATTATATCAATCATTACATAAGCCTTTAATTCGACAGAATGACTAACTTCAATTTCAACATTTTGGAGTAAAGCCATTTTAGTAATATTTCTAGATGAAAAAATTATAATATTCGTACAGACAGTGAACAAGTTAATTCCAGATTAGGTGATTGCTGTGTTGAAATAAAGGAATGTGTATAAAGTTATACATTTATCCACTAAAAATGTCACTAAAATTAATAATAACAAATGTTGAAATTGGCTTAAAGGCTCATATAATCGCAATGAAATTCATAATTCGTTTATGCCTTGACTACAAGTTCTCTTTTGTATAGGAATCTGGTTTAAATTTAAAGTACATTTGAGGCAGCAAGCAAATATAGGTATTTTGGAAATTCGGCGTTTTTCCAATAGAAAGTCTGCGGAATTCAAGGGGTTTCCAGATAACAGCCAATATTTGTGTCAATATTATAAATAAAATATAATATAAATATATCTAAATAACAAACAAATAAAACTAGAGCGAGTAAAACTTGTTTTTATGCCTTGTTTTATTTTAATGTGACTCGTTCCTATAAAACGAAAGAGTAATTACAAAACAACTTACTGAGGTTTTTAATTGGATAGTTAAATAAATACGGTTATGAGGGAGCATTTTTGTCACGAAACAGTAAAATTCCTTGCTTTTACAACTTCTAACTCTCAAAACTAAGTTGTTTTTTCAACTGATTTTTGTATAAACGTTTTCTAGTAATGGCAAATTAAATTTAAAATTTTCTGTTTCTGTAAATATTGCAAACTCATACTTTTCAGGTTATATAAGTTGTAATTCAAAATTTCACTTTACTCTGGAGTTTTTAGTCGAAATATTGAAATCAATATATAAAATCTAATGATATGCTACACGCATTTGAAAACAAACAAACTACATCTTTAAGCTGAATTAAAATGTCTAACTATTTTTGTAAATTATATATATCCATAATTATGAATAATCAATTGGACTAATCCATGAAATATGCAAAAATGGGTTTGTAGTGGTTTCGAATAATACCAGGGCTTATATACGACCAGTTTATAAGGGTATCCTCGATTATGCTCTCCAACACAGGAACTGGTATTTCTTGTTCTTTAAGGTTTGAAATTCCATTTATTCGACATCGATCCACTGCTCCTTGGATTGCTGTTTATTTTTGTTAGGATTTCACACCCTTATGTATTCCAGCTGAAACTGGAAAGGGCTGATATTTTATATGTTACCGACATTTTCCAGCCAGATTAGGGTTGTCCAAATCCTAAATAAATATCAGCCATCATAGGATGGAAACGTACCATCTTTTAGCCGAAGTAACAATAGAGTTCCTTTAACACGTTCAGTAACCGTGGCCTATATTAAGTGCTCTTACACACCTGTTCAATACCTTGTTATCCCTAACTGTTGCTTTAATAACCCCATAATTCGTGTGCGCTATTTTGCAGTATTTCAATTGGTGAAAGTTAAAAGAACATTTTTTTTTTTCTTTTAACAAGATAATGCAAAAACGGCTGTAAAGTGTTACAAGAATCTTGACGGATCCTTGTTAGGGGCAGCAGGTTATGACATGGCTTACGTACTCTTTATGAATAACAATTGAATGGACGAGAGGTAATTGCGTCGCGTGCCTCCATTGTCTTCTTCGGCCTTCTTACAACTGCCACCTCCTTACACTTCCTAATCGCCTCCTCGTACTCTGGAATACGGAACTTCGAATATGGGTCTCTCGTGTTTTCATGTTCCAGCAACTTATAATAGCATAGTTATAGGACTTAAATCCACAGCCTAAGCAGTTTTATAAGTCATGTATTGACTTTCTTCCATGTAAATATTTATGCAATTTATTTTTTCTGTTGGTATTAAATACATTGCAGATCTTTTGCCGCCTGAACCTGCCTTCTCCATATTAGCCTATCTTGGACTATTTCTTTCCTGTTATCTGCATTCAGTTCTATTGCATATTTGTTGATGCGATTTATCCGTCTGTTTTTTTTCTTTCCAGGTGATCCTTACCTGCTATTAAGGTATTCATTATTGGCCAGTTTCTGTAGGCAGTTCTTTATTGATATTTTTCCTTTATGTGTTATTACTCAGATCCCAGATTCCTCTGGTTATCGTGTGAAGGATTTTCTCTCAAATCTTTCAATATTTCATACTAGGACGCTGGTTAATGTCCAGTTTTCGCAGTATATTAAAACTGGCTTTATAATAGCATTGTACAACCTTAATTTAAATTTTTCGGGATTTGAATATCTTGGAACTTTTCTCTGTCTGTTTGCGCTTGTTTTACGCTGGCATATTTCCGACCGTTGGTCATTCATTAAGATTATTGTGGATCTGAAGTTTTTTTTATTTTCTACTCCCGAAAACAATTTCCCTTCTACGCAGATCCTGTTGTTTAGGTGGAATCTACGATTTATTATCACCTATTTTGTTTGATCTTTATTTACTTGTAGGTCGATTTGTTATGCTTCTTCGGACAACTAAATGAGGAACTTTTGTTCATAAAATAGATTATTGAAATTTCCAATAACATAGGCAATACTTTTCAATGAAGGTTATAGGTAATTTTGAGAAAAATACTAATAGGCTGGTTATTTTTACTTATTAAAGACATTTATCACTTAGTTGAAGGAAAATATTTGCATGAATGTCAAATTATTTGATGATCAAATGAGAAGCCGATCTGTTTGTGAGGAAAAACAAGTGAGTAGGTTGTGATCTTGAACACTATGAGAAGAAGCATCGAGGTGAGTGATCTTGCTTAGTAGTCGATATAGGTAGCTAAATTGTTAGTTGAGTTTCTTCAAAGTCTTCTATCTTTTTTTTTTTAAATAGTTAAACAAGTATTTAGATTCAAGTATCGCCTTAAATTAGCCGCAATATGTATGTATGTATTTATTGATATACCTTTTGTGCTGAAGTAATCAATAATTGCCTAAAATATGTTTATGCGTATTCGTTCAGTACGCCTGTTTCATATATATATATATATATATATATATATATATATATATATATATATATATATATATATATATATATATATATATATATAAATTCTAATGAAAGAGTCACTTTAAACTTTCAAATTAGAGTCTAATCATTATACTGAAAAAATGACAAATTCAAATTCACGTTTTGTGTTCAATAAGTCATTCGCTATCTTCTTTTTTTTTTATTTAATAAATTATTAAAAATGTATGCCCATGATATAAAGAAGTTTATAGGTTCCGGTAAAATCAGTTCAATTTTATAGTTAGTTTTATAGGTTGTTGAAATAGAACTCTTTTTTTTCATAACCTCATTTTCATAGAAGGTTTGTCTTAATATTTTCTTTTAAATTTCCTTACTATATCTTCGATATATTTTAAGGTTTTTCTGACCCATCCTCTATTCTGTTTTAATATTTTTTTTTTGTTTTTGCTGTCAATCATGATTCTTGACGATTTGAGTAAATCATACAAAATATATCATAATAGTTTATATTATTTGGAAGAGAGCTAGACTAATACAAGGAATTGACCAAAAAATGTGGGGCTCTGATAAAATTATTTGAATCTATTCTTCTAATTTAGAACAAGTTATAAATTGTGAATATACTGTAGGATATATAGGAAAAATATTTATAAGTTGCTTTATTATTTTTGCTGCTCTGTTAGTAAGTAGACAGTGCTTGTTGATTTGCTGTGTAGAGTTACCAATCGACTTTATCTTTCCTTTCATTCTTTATTATTATTTTATCTACCTCCACGCCTGCTTGTAGTTCACTTAGAAAGTAGTTATTTCTTAGATGTTGATTTTACTATAAGAGTTTTAAATTATACATAAATATATCAGAATAATTACCATTTTATTTATTACTTATGTGTGCTACGATGTCGTTATGTATTAGTTCAGTAGAGTTCAATTTATGTTTTTAAATGTTCCATATATTTGTTCATAATGAAATTTGTAAATTATTTTTCTTTTTTCTCTGAATGGGGCTTTTACAAAGAGAATGTTTATTCACATCATATAGATACGTCACAAATATTATACGAATATTTAATGCTTGCATTCAACTAATTTCAGAACTCAATAAAGGAAAGTTTATTGTAAACATATTTGAAAAATTATTGTATTATGGACTACAATAGAATGTGAAAAAAATATCTCGAGTTCGAAGCCAGTTTATAAATTTATTGACCGCTCTCTGAATAATATTGTTTTTTCATATTTATTTCAATTTATATATATATTTTAATTCACAATATTTTTTAAAATATTAAATACTATGAATTGGCCTAATGAAATATTGTAAACTAAATTAGATATTGCTTAATTTTGGCTTTTGTTTTTGAAACTGAATGTAGATTCAGAAAACATATAAATTTATATTGTAATACCAAAGACATATTGATAAACAAAATTGTACATTTGTAAATTTAAGTTATTATTCAAAACCAGTAGACTGTCATAGATACTCAAAAATGTTTGTATAACTGTTGTATTTTATATTATGATCGAATAAAACATTATTCTATTATATTCTCCTTAAAATTTTGAATTTGAGCCTATCACTATACTGTTTTATTCAATAATGCTACCTGCTTTAATAATTTTATAGATAATATTTAAATAATTATTTTATTTGAATATTATTAAATTAAGTAGTTTTTGTTTCACACATCTGGAGATTATTTACTGAGGATTCAAAATTTTTGTTGCTGGAGCAAATCAAGTCCGTTGTTTTATCAAGGGACTACTTTGAGCTCCTTTTAAATTGGAATTATCAGTTTATATATGAAACGAAATTGCCATTAAAATATTTTTATAATTTTAGTCATAGTTTTTTTCTTTTTTGTTGTTTTATTTATATTTGTAAATCTATTGATATGCGGCATCAACTTACTTCATTCACTTCTGGAATCGGTACAGAAATATTTTATTAAAAAAAAAAAATTGGAATTATACATGAGATTTTTAGAGGTTGTAAAGGAGGTAGAGACTAAATCAATTTTCTCAAAATTTCTATTTTATTTTTATTTCGCCTAGATCCAACGTCATATTTCACATCCATCTTGCCCTAATTTAACAGTAGTACTTGAAAAACTTGTCATGTTACTTATTTTAATAAAAAAGTGAAACTTAGATACTTGTAACGGGTACAAAAAGGAAGTTTATAAATGGTAATTGATTGAATGAAAAAGCTACTAACTATGTAACATTGAAATAAATTCAGATGTGCATATTGAAATAAATTCAGCTATTATTCAAATAAAGGCAAACTAATTAGAGCAAATGTAAGGAATGAGTGAAAGTAATAAATAATATGTTATTATACAAATGATTAGATTAAGTAACAATTAATAGGTTATTAAACAAAAGATGAGGTTAAGTAACAAATAATTGATTATTAAAAGTTAATTAATATTAGAAATAGCTATCTTAAAAAACAAATAACGGTAAACAAGTAGATATATTATGTTTGTGTGAATCCTTCGCGAAAATATTGACGTTATTTGATGACAGTTTAGAGAGTATTTTTACTTTAAATATTTTATATGGATTTGATAACATTTATATATAAAAAATTAAAGTCTGTCAGTTAGTGGTGTTACTGAATATTAGGCCAGTAACTTCAGGATTGGATTGGAAAATTTATTGCAAATAAATGTGGGAAAAGTTTTTTTTTTTTAACTTGTATATATGGATTTAAACACGTTAAAAAAACAATTTCTAACGTTGGCCACCAAGGAAAACGTTTTACAGATAAAAAAAAAAAAGATTTTTTCGATCTTCGAACCGTTTAAATTCCGAAATAGTGTATCGAACGAAAAATGTGCTCTTTGAGAAATTAATGAACGTTAAATTGTGCGTCGAACGAGTAACTGAAATTGGTATTAGGATTTTGAGCGGAATAATGGACCTACTTTACAACTGGTGGTACTCAGAGGATCCGGAATTTTATGCTCTCCAACTTTTATTCTATGCGATTTTACTCTTAGGAAAATTATTTCCACGCCGCAAAACCATATTTATAGAAATTTTTCTAAGTTTTTGACCAATTTAGTAAAAACTATCGTTCGTTATCGACCTCTTAACCAAATTATTAAGTTTGGACACTCGTTCATCGCACACTTAAACGCGACTCATCGTTTACGAATTATAGGAGAAAAAATAAAAATAAAATATCAAAAAAAAAATATTGCTTTGTTGACTGTAAAAAGTTTTCCCTTGATGATTCACGTTAGCGATTTTGTTTTTTTACTTGTTTAAACCCATATATACAAGTTAAAAAATAAAAACTTTTGTCACATTTTTCGCAATAAATTTTCCCGTTTTGATCCTAAATGTATTGGCCTAATATTCGATTAATCCCGTTCCTTTTCTCCTATAGAAGAGGTCAGATTACTTTGTGGATAAAACTCGAACTGTCTTGTTGAATTTTATTAAGGAAAAAAATTCAGTGTGAATGAGGCAGATATGTTCACCCTGATCATCCACCTCTTATCCTGGCTTCTACTATAAGCGAGATTTATGTAATATTTGGGATATAATACTTTGAATCCAGATTCTGAAATAACATGCTCACACCCAATAATCTTTCATTAATGGACATAGATTAAGGCAGATTGTTAGATTTAATTCATTCCGATATGATGCTCATTTATTCATGTATTAGTTAAGGAATAACTTACCACCATTCTTCATATAGCTTATATTACATAATTTAAGAGCATAGTGCGTGCTATTCGATCTTGCCATGCACGTGAACATTACATGTTATGTGTCCCGTATGTCTGCATGTAATGTTCTGTATGTTATGGTGTGGGTAACCTCTACTTTTGTTTTACAGCAGCTGTACCTGGTGAGGTGATCATCCAAGCACCACGTCAAAGGCACAACATACATCAAAATCTGAAGCTGCCCATCTACTGTCCTTTAAAATACCGGCACGTCGTGTCATTAATTTCAAGAAAAAAAAAGACTTGATCGCTCAATTATTATAATAATTATAATGAATATAGCCAGTAGCTTTAACGGACAGTATGTACCATAAAGAATTAGACAATAATTTCTTATTCCCATTCTATGTTATTTCGGTGATATATTTGTTTGTATTGGATGTTAATATTAGTGTAGTGTGTGTGTATATAATTATAAATAAATCGTTTTTCTTTTTTTTCATTTATTTATTTCTTTTAGCCTTCCTTCTTTTCCTTTCGCATGTGTACAGCTTGTAACAAGTAGATATATTGCATGTAGTGTAAAAATTATTTCAAATGCATGATGCTTATTTAGAAAATTTAAAATAGTTAGTTCTGTATTGAAATTTTTAAGATGCCGTTGACGGAATCTTTCTAGGTTAAATAATTTCATCGGATATACCTTATTTGGATGATTGGTCAGCGGCATATACACCGTTACTCAAAATATATTGGAAGGATAATATAATATCGACTACAACAGTTGTGGATTGTTCATCGATACCCCTCCATTACTTAATTCAACAAACATTTGAAAACTTCAACACACATTACTCACCAAGATCAAAAATTTAAATGACAAATATGTTTTATATTATTAATTCTAGTATGTCATACTAGAATGATAATAGATAATTATCCATTTTTAATTTTGATCTTATTCTAAATAGTTTTTCATACCTCTTTGCCTTTCGATCAATTTAATTATTAATCAAATTAGTTTTTTATCTCTATTTATTATTGTACATTTTGGGGAATATTTTTCTCCCTCTTCAGGAATATGATTTTCTCCAAAAAATGGATAAGTCACAGCATTTAATAAGCTTTGGCTGGGCTGTTATCCATTTAAATTTGGATAATAGCCATTGTCCAAGCTTATTAAATATTCTGACATCCACTTTTTGGGGCAAATAATATTGTTGAAATATTGGACTATCATCCAATTAAATTTGACAAACAATATTGCTGAACAGAGGGACAAATATTTCACGAAACGTATAATAATAAATAGTGATCAAAAACTAATTTTACTATTAATTAAATTGGCTAAAAGGCAAATAAATTTAAAAAAGTAAATATTTAGATATTTTCTCTTAGATAATTTTGATCTTGTATTATATTCAGAACGAATTGAAAATTTGACATGATTTTTATATTGTATTTATTTGTTTTTGTTTTTTTAGTTTACTTATGTATTTCAAAAAGTAAAGAATCTGTATATTTAAAAGTGGTTGTATAGCATGTTGCGTTGTATTTCTATCCTCAAAGAATTTCTTTTTTTCTTATTTCACATATTTTAGATAAATATGTAAACAAATATTTCATAATTGTAAAATATTATATATTGTAGTTTATATCAATTGCATGTTTTTTGTTGTTGTTTTTTTAGAGGACTTTATAAGTATGTTTGTAACAAGTGATTGTAAATAATTAGTGAATTTGTGCATGATAATTTACATAATAGTGTTTGTGCGTGCTTTGTTCGTTTGTATTTGTGATGTATTTACTATAGTGTGCGTTTGCTAAATTAAACAAAAATAAATTTGAATGTTGAGCATCAATGAATTTGCGATTAGATAAAGAGGAAACAATATTTAATGAACAAAAAACAACTATTGAATTTCCTCTTGTATATTGATATTTTAAGATTTATTTAATGTTACCTATTTTCACTTTAGTTGCCGGAAATCGATCCTGAAAAGGTTTCACTCCAAGTGCCGGACGAAATAATCAGTGGAGGTTTCAACGTTGTCAACAAAGCTGCTCCTGTTGTTGGTGAAGTAATACAGGTAATTAATTTCAATTATTTGAAATATAATAACAAAGTAACAATGATTCAAGTAAAAGAAATACTCAGCAAAGGCGCAGACTTCGGAGGGGAGGGGCGCTCGCCCCTCCCCCACAATAAGAATAGAAAGAGGCGAGAATATCGTTTCGCTGCACCCACTATTACTTAACATTTTTGATATTTTGTCAAGAAAAGTGGAAAATCCCTCAATCTATAAGTGAAAATTTCTTCTAACTCAGGTATATTTATGTAAAGATAGGATTTTATAGATTACAAGTATTCCACGGCGCTACTTACAGAATATGGATCTATCAATTTTCTTGACAAAAGAAGAATCCTATTCACTTTTAGTAATTTTTAAAAAATAAATAAAACTATTTTGAGATCCGTTGAATATTTAATAGTTGACCGTTGCATTATAAAGGAGGAGATGGTCCGGGGTGGAGGTCATAAATAGGGTAAATAGTGGCAAAACTATTTTATTAACTAGCTTATTCACATTGTTTATAATTTTTTGTCTAAATATTATGTGATTTCCACAATTCTCTATTTGTATCTTGCTCGTTCTATCCCTAAAGAAGATCTGCACAGTCGGGTTTTAAAATTGTTGGCGAAACGTTGGCTTTTAATAAAATATTTTTGCCCCTATTTAGCCTATTTATGACCGCCATTCCGGACCATCTCCTTCCTTTATTTTGAGATCCGTTATATTAGTATTTATCAGTGTTGCAACTGTTTTATTTTAGCTGTGACGATCCACATTTGGGACAGTGAATTGATAGGGGTAATAAATTAGTAACCCTGGAATCCATCACCTGTTAGAGGTTATGAAGTCCTTTTAGTCTATTTCAACAGATACATAAAATGTAAATAACTATAGCTAGCACCTATTTGAAATATTTCAGACCCAATGCCTGAAATAAAATTTAATGGCCGTCGGTTTGCTAGATTTATTTGATCCTATGGAAAGTATTAAATTTAAATAAACATGTAATTTTATATTTTATCTAAGTTTTCCATAGCATACGTATTGCATTGTCTTGTCAAATTTATCCGATCAATAAGTAACAGTATTGCATCTCTAACTCTGGAAGAAAAAAATGCTGATGTCCAAAACTTCGATATTTGAGTGAACTGCGCAAAACAAAACAGAGAAATGTATAAATTAATTATAAGAAGGGCTAATGGGATATAGTTTTAAAAATTAATGTATATCTTACCGCGATTTCCTTTGTCCAGTCTACGAATTGTTATAAATATATCATAATAGTAGCATTTTTTAAAGATTAATCTTGTGAAATTTTATAGGAATTTTAATTTTTAACAAACTATGAAACTTTAATTATAACGTATTTTCATATTGACCTTGTCTTTGAATAGAATTGAGTTGCTCGGTGCTATAGGTTTCCCTCGTTCGGAGGCCCTGATTTAAGATTTTACTAAGGATTTTTAGAAAAACCTCAAGTTGCGGAATTATTATTTGCATATTTGCTCTTGAAATATGATTTCTTGATTTGTTTTAATTTTCTTTCTTTTTTTATACATGTATCAGTACGATTTGATTTTTTAAACATCCACGGATAACTTTATGTTAAAAATTTGTTAAATGGTAAATACCAAATATCTTCTTAGGAATAAGTTGTAGCTAATGTATATCGATTTCAGTCATTAGAAAAAATGGAGAAATAAAGTCTTTTTTTTTTCTTTTCTTTAACATACCAACTTCAATTTCCTGACTATACCAAAAACTCTTTTATTTATTTACTGCTTTTCGTTATACATCAATTCTATTCCGTATTAAGTCATTAGATGTTGTTCGTTTTAATAGCATCGGTTTATTGCAAAAAGTCATTAATGACCTTTTATAACCTAAAAAAAATAAGAACTTTAATGAATTTTTCCTTTGTGATATCAGAAAATTGTGCAACTAGTATAACCGTATATGATAAATAAAAGGGTATTTTATCATAGATAAAAAAAGGCCGAGATTCACAAAAACATATTATACTTGAAAGTTAACTTATATATAAAAATGTACTTCGTAATTTTTTGCAATAAACAGACGACGTATCAAAATTATTTTTTAATCAAATCATCGTACATAATTTTGTTACACCAGCTACAACTATTATTTCGTGATAACTGCATGGACTCTCTGAAAATAAAATTATTATAAATCAAAGAAGTTAACTTATATAAATAAGAAATTACATCAACGAGAAAAAGTAGATATGTTCTTCTTTCAAAGTACAACGAAAAAGGAAGTAAATATCACGTCTGGAAGAACCATAAGAAAGCCAATTTAAGTGCAAATATAATATTTTCCCTAGTCCTTCATCCATTGCAGACTAAACATGTGTCTGTCCTTTGATTATATGTTCCGTGTCTGGTTGCACAACGAAATAATGTAATCGGAATGAATTAATGTCAAGTGAAATCTATGGACTAATGGACTCTTGTTTGTCTCCTCTTCGTGGATTGGCAAGTCATTGAATTCACCTATTTATTCATGGGTAATGATAACTGTTGATTTATTTTATGTTACTGATATTATTAATTATATATATATATCTATATATATCTTTACAACTTTTCCTTCATCGACCTTTGAGTATTAAATTCAAACTTCACTATTTTATTGGGAATAAGGTCACTTAATTTTCTCTCAACTGAAAGATAGGAACAGCCGAGAAAAATTAGCCAATGTTGTTTATGAGTTAAAATGCTAAAAAAAAAAAAAAAAAAAAAAAAAATTAAGTGACCTTATTCCCAATAAAATAGTGAAGTTTGAATATATATATATATATATATATATATATATGATATGTCTTAAACTGACGAATAAAATCCTTGTTTAATATTTATCAAAAATAGATTATTTGATAACAATTCTGCCAAAAGGAAGGAACGATTTATGGATAGTCCACATATTAATTAATTTAGTTAATTATCTTTTTTCGAGAATGGATAAGTATTAATAATTATGTTCCGTGTCTGGTTGCACAACGAAATAATGTAATCGGAATGAATTAATGTCAAGTGAAATCTATGGACTAATGGACTCTTGTTTGTCTCCTCTTCGTGGATTGGCAAGTCATTGAATTCACCTATTTATTCATGGGTAATGATAACTGTTGATTTATTTTATGTTACTGATATTATTAATTATATATATATATATATATATATATATATATATATATATATATATATGATATGTCTTAAACTGACGAATAAAATCCTTGTTTAATATTTATCAAAAATAGATTATTTGATAACAATTCTGCCAAAAGGAAGGAACGATTTATGGATAGTCCACATATTAAT